AGAGCTTCGTTCAGTGCAGATTTGTTTTCTAAACCATTTAGTGAACTTCGTTCAGTGCAGGTTTGTTTTCTAAACCATTTAGTGAACTTCGTTCAGTGCAGATTTGTTTTCTAAACCATTTAGTGAACTTCGTTCAGTGCAGGTTTTTTTAAACCATTTAGTGAGCTTCATTCAGGGCAGGTTTGTTTTTAAACCAATTAGTGAACTTCGTTCAGTGCAGGTTTTTTTAAAGGGTAAAATTCTTAGCATTTTGAATATTTTTTTTTTCAAATGGTATGGTATGACAATTTAAAAAAAAAGAAGTCATTATTTTTAATCTACCACTGACGGACAGTAAAAAATGAGTCGAACACTGTTTATTTTTCGTAGATATTTCCAGTGCGTAGATGAATTAGTTATATTTGCGTAAGTGGATCAGAAAAATTTTGTAATAAAATCAGTTGAAGACTCCAATATTTCATAAAGTTAAAAGCGACTAAATTATTATTATTATTATGCATTTTAAAACATTGGAGTCATGAAAACCGATTTTGTTATATCCTACCACAAGAACTGTCAGTCAAATGTGTGGAATATTTCTCACATGTTGTTTCTGTATAGGAAAATAAAGTTTTTATTTATGAGTTCACTGATTTTGCTTTTCTTTTCCCACCCTCAGTATTGAATTTGATAAAGACAACGAATTTTTTGCAATTGCTGGAGTCACTAAAAAAATTAAGGTAAGATCTTTATATTGATATAAAATAACATTACTTTAGTGTGTGTGTGCTTAGAATATGTGTTAATTTGTTGGAAAATTGTCTCACTCGTGACTGTTAGTCAGCTATCCCAAGTGATTTAAAGAATCAAACACATTTTGTACTTATTGTTCATCCTTTTATTTCGCTTTGAAATAATGCAAGTTCTGAGACCTTCTGTTTTTAGTGTTATAGCATCTATGATAATTTGGGGCACAGTTTCACTAGCTAATATTTAACTGAATTCTACATCAGTTACAAAAACTGAAGAGAAGTCACACACAAAAATATTTACAAGCAAGAAAAATGGTAACTGTTTAAATATGACCTGGTGAAGAGCTCAGACTCGAAACATTGTTAAATAAATCCCCTTCTAGAGCAACATCTTTCTAATGTTACTTTTTTTTTTCTTTAAATCAAAGAACTTTTTGTAATGTCTGTAAGATCCATGTCATGCCTTCTTCTAAGACTAACAAATATAGTACCTACAGTCTAGAATAGATGTGACAGACTGATTCAGATAGCTTAATACAGGCAAGTTTGTTCCTACTTTTTGTCTAGCAAAGTTTATGGCCAATGCTAATGTTACAGTCCTAAGGAAATATTATGCCCAAAGGTGCTTTCCACAAGCCATTATTATACATGAATTAATGTAATTATATAGAAAAATAGTCTAACTTGTTTTTGCTTCAAAGAAATGGAAGAAGTGAGGCTCTTTCAGATTCTCATCAATTAACATTTGAGAATCATTTTTGTAGAAGTAAAAAAAATCTTTAATAACCCCTTAATTCTCATTAATTTATAATAAATCATTGATTTTAGCTGCCTTATCCTATAACATTTTCACTTATTTAAGCAGAATTTAAAAGGTTTTGTTTTGTTTGAAGTTTAAATATTTAGAAACAGATAAATACAGAAAAGAAGGTCATTTTGAGTCCAAAGATCAAGGTCACATAGATGACATGATTGTTGTCAAACGTGAAGGACATATAAACTGAGACATTTGGTTGTTCATGTACAAGTGAGGTATGAACTGAGGACTGTGGTTGTTCGTGTACAAGTGAGGTATGAACTGAGGACTGTGGTTGTTCGTGTACAAGTGAGGTATGAACTGAGGACTAAACAAGATGTCCTAATTGTGAATAATTATAACCACATAACATGTTTTCCGTATAACTTCTCCAATTATAAGAAGTTATAAGCCCTACTTGTTCATAACAACAAATACAATCTGTCAATCAGAGATAAAGATCATATGTAGGCCAGATTAATTTAATAATTTTGTACTGCCAAACGTATCAGGTTATTAGATGTTGAACTTAATTGTACACTAAATTTAAGATTAATCCCAAGATCATAGTCATTACTGTTCAGTACATCCTTAGTTCTGATACCCAGTCTAGTTTTAAAGTTTACAGTAATGTTCATGTTCAATTATACCATTTACCAAGAATGTTTTCTTTAAGATACTGTATACTGAATTTACAGTTAAAACTGAAACTGGTAAAATTGATTAATTTCATTCATCTCTTTGTACAGCTATTAATGTTTATAAAAAGGATGCATATCTCTGTTGTTTTTTTTTCTTCAAGAAGTTTGAGTTTAAAATGTTTAACTCGACTGTGTTTTTAAACATGTTAATTATTATGCAGGTCTTCGATTATGGCACAGCAATAATGGATACCATTGACATGCACTATCCAGTAAACAAGATGGTGTGTAATTCAGAAATCAGGTTAGTTCTATTGTGGATACCATTGACATGCACTATCCAGTAAACAAGATGGTGTGTAATTCAGAAATCAGGTTAGTTCTATTGTGGATACCATTGACATGCACTATCCAGTAAACAAGATGGTGTGTAATTCAGAAATCAGGTTAGTTTTATTGTCGATACCATTGACATGCACTATCCAGTA